TAAATCTAAAAAAAAAAAAAGTTACACAAAGAATTAATTTTCTTTAACAGTTTTACTGAAAATGTAGATGCAGTGTTCATATGGTGTTTTCTCCTAAATCTACTGTAAAAGTTGAGTATGTCCCAAAGTTCAACCCAGGGAAAGTGATCAGGGAAAAGACCACTCTCTCTCTCTCTCTATGTATATATATATATATATATATATATATATATATATACACACACACACATATATATATATTCGACAGGCAGAGTTAGACAGTGAGAGAGAGAGACAGAGAGAAAGGTCTTCCTTCCGTTGGTTCACCCCCCAAATGGCCGCCACGGCCAGCATGCTGCGCGGATCTGAAGCCAGGAGCCAGGTGCTTCCTCCTGGTCTCCCATGCGGGTGCAGAGCCCAAGCACTTGGGCCATCCTCCACTGCCTTCCCAGGCCACAGCAGAGAGCTGGACTGGAAAAGGAGCAACCGGGACAGAACCGGCGCCCCAACCAGGACTAGAACCCAGGGTGCTGGCGCCGCAGGCGGAGGATTAGCCTAGTGAGCCACGGTGCCAACCTAAAGACCACTATTGAAATCCTTGTTAGATTAATTAGAATAACAAATTCCTGGAACAGTGCTCCTGAGATAGAATATTACAGTGTACCACTTGGTCATACTGAGTCATTACCTTCCCCATTATTATTCTGATTATCACCATAATTAGTCTTTCTTAATTAGAAATGGAATCATGCAATATGAATTATTGTCTTCTTATATCAATCAACTAATCTATGGGATTTGCCCTGTACTCAGCATATAAATTATCTATTTGTTTTTATTGCTGTGTAACTTCTAAAAATATTTTTATTTTTTACTTATTTGAGAGGCATAGAGAGGAGGGGGGAGATTGGGGAGAGAGATTGACAGAGAAATCCTATCCCTGGATCCCTCCCCAGATGTCCACAATGGTCCTGTGCAGTGGGCCAAAGCCAGGAGTCGAGAACTCAGTCCAAGTCTTCAGTGTGGGTGGCAGAGACCTTCCTACTTGAGACATTACCTGCTGCTTCCCAGGGATGGCAGGATGCTGGAATCAGGAATGAAATTGGAACTCGAACCCAGGCCCTCTGATAAGGAATGTGGATTTACTGAGCCATGTCTTAACCTCTAGGCCAAATGCCAACCCTGTTAAATGTGTTAAATGATCATAACACTATTTCTTCTTCTGTTCTCTTGGATCTTGGGCAACATTCCAGCTATTGACTTGAATGTGCCTAGGACTGGAATTGGATATAAAGTAAGTATGTTTATCTGTAGATAGACCGCCAAAGAGTTTTCCAAAGTGGTTTGCTATCTTTGATTTCCTTCAATTTGGGGATGACCTGCAGTTCTTCAGGTAGTGTCTTACACACACATGTATGCCCTATGTTTTGTAGTGGTTCTAAAGAAGAATGCTAAATAGTCATGTGTCTCTTGTTCTTTTTCTCCACTCAAGCATCAATTCCTGAAGATTGCCAAGCCCCTCTCCAGCCTCACTCCACTGATCGCTGCAGCAAAGGAGGCAACCAAGAACAATCACTAAAGCCACGCTCACCCTAGCCTCATTGTGCCAAGCCTTCTGTGAAGTTAATGCTCATTTCAGAAATTCTAGCCCCTGATGACCTCCTCTCCTGGCCTTGCTTCTCCCATTTCCTGATCTAGCGCTCTCAAGACTTTAATCCTGGGAAATCACGTGTCCAGCATTGAGGAGAACTGCGACTGGATGCCTGATCGGATGATGGCCGTTTTTAAATAAGGAATTCCCTCCTATGTGTAGATATGAGGGTGGTTTATGATCAAGGGTTTATCTGAATAAACCTTTGGACCACTATTTCTACATTATAAAATCTCTACCACTATCCCCACTCCCCCACCCTGCAACCAGTTTTTGAATATATAAAGTTATGTTTTGATAACATTACCAATTTATTATTAGTTGAGATTTCTTTAGTGCTTGCCTTTATGTGACTAGACTGCCCAGTCACCTCAATGTACTTGAAAACTGGAACAGTTGGGAATGCCATGGGGTTTGATAATCTGCCAGGGACACGAAGTGGCTCAGCTTTCTGGACCATGACTTTAGCACAGCTGATTCTGCTGTGGAAGAACTACCACATTTTTATTTGTGTGCTTCTAGCTGCTGTTTGGGAGGACCTTGACCCAGTAATGTTCCCCATGCTATTTCTTGTGAAATGGTCTTGGCTATGTAGCAGCTTTTGTTTCCCTGCATCCCCTAGGCTGCTGCCCCCATTCTGTCCTTGTTTATAACTCAGAGGTTTCGTAGGGCACATGGTGAGTGAGAGCATTGGGAGAAGGCAGGAAAAAAAAAAAAGTAGGTACTTTTAGAGCAAGGCTGGGCATTAGTACCTGGCCGGCTATACTTCCGTGATGTTTTAAGAACACAGCTTCTTTTTCCATCCGGGATAAGGAGCTGAAAGATTAACTCAGATCTTCTGATGGCCTAAGTCTTTGGGTCAGAGGAACAGGTCTCCAAATCTGAGACTACATGGTAGTTTTGGATGGATTTGGTGGCCCCTGATTTTAAGATGCATGGCCAAGCTCTCTGCAAATGGAAATGCTTACACTGGTGTTGAGGATGTTTGCTACCTCCTGCTTTCTTTGTGGATTTGGTCCTCTCTCTATAGTAGGACACCTGGCCAGCACTGTGGCTTGTCACGTCAGCCCACTGACTACCTTGTCATGCTCTGAGGTGTCATTGCCTCTGCAGCACAAGTTTCTGTTTCCTTCAATAAAAGGAGATGAAAATATTCTTGGAGTCTGCCTTTCTTTCTCCCCTCCTTTATTTCCTTCTGGTTTTTTCTATTTTTTATATGAAATTATTAAAAAAAAGGTTCTTCCTGAACCATTTGAGAGTAAGTTGTCAAAAGGAGGGACCCTTCACCACCATATACTTTGATGTTTATTTGTTGTTCTTAACACTTTTTTAAAAATTAAAGTATAGAAATGGGCCTAAACTATTTGTACTGTTTAAAGAATAATTTATAGATTCACATGTATCTAGCACTCAAAAAAGAAATGGAACACTGCTAGTATCCAGGACCTGGTCTGTCTTGCCATTCCTTCTTATTTTAGTCTCCATAACAGGTAACCAATATCCTGACTTTTGGTGAAATCACTCTCTTACTTGTCTTTCACCATATTCATATGTATTCTAAGACAGTTTAGTTCTGTTTTTTTTTAAACTTTAAATAAATGTTTGTTTCACCCCAAGATTATATTTTCAAGATAGATGTATGTGGTTCTATGTTAGTTGTGTGTAGCTCTGTTTCACTTATTATTGCTGCTTTAAAACACTGGAGAGTAAAGGTTCTTTGTCCAAGACTAACCTCCCGAGGACTGCCCCCCTCCCAAAGCAGTTGGTTTCTGCACAGCCTTTTCTTAATTGGCTAAAGTCAGTGCTTAAGGCAGTCAGCCTGATAGAATGCTCAGTAGACTAATCAGGTACTTATTTTTATCACATCATATGAGGGCTCTTCAGAGAGTTCATGGAAAATGTCAGTATTAAAAATTATAAAAGGGGCAGTTGTGGCACAGTGGATTAAGCTGCCACTTGAAATACCAGCATCATATATGACTGCCAATTCAAGTCCCAGATGCCTCACTTTTTTTTTTTTTTTAGATTTATTTATTTATTTGAAATGTAGAGTTACAGAGAGTCCGAAGCAGAGAGAGAGAGAGAGAGAGACATCTTCCATCTGCTGGTTTACTCCCCAGATGGCTGCAAAGACTGGAGCTGCGCCGATCTGAAGCCAGGAGCCAGGAGCTTCTTTTGGGTCTCCCATGCAGATGCAAGGGCCCAAGGACTTGGGCTACCTTCTGCTTTCTCAGGCCATAGCAGAGAGCTGGATCAGAAGTGGAGCAGCCGGGACTCAAACTGGCACCCATATGGGATTCCAGCACTGCAGGCAGCAGCTTCACCCGCTACACCACAGCGCCAGTCTTTATGCCCCACTTCTGGTATTGCTTCCTGCTAATGAGCCTGGGAAATCAGCAGAAGATGGCTCATGTTCTTGTGCCCCTGCCACCACATGGGAGACCTGTATGGAGTTCCTGGCTCTTGGTGTCCAGATGGCCCAGCCTTGCCGTTAAACAACCATTTGGGGAATAAACCAGCAGATGAAAAATCTACCCCTTCACCCTGTAACTCTGCCTTTCAAATATATAACTAAATCTTTAGGGAAAAATGCTGGATTTTGCGATTTTTTTGCAGCAAGTAAGTTTTAATTCCATTTTTACCATGAACATGAAATACCCTGTAGAGCTACAACCATAAGGCTGGATTCCCCAGCTGTAGTCATGCTAGAGAAAATACTTCTTACTCTAAGGTGGTAGAGAGGAGCTAGAGGCCAGTGTTCTTTCCTGTGGCACTATTATTGTATCCCAGCACCATCAAATAGAGAAAGGCTGGTGCTTCCTGGGTGTGCAAATTACAATCCTCACAGCTCAAAGCCTGGAATCCTTCTCTGGGACTTTGACATCTGGGCCCAGTAGATCTTACAGTCTACCCGAAAGGTGGTGGTATTGGAGTTTCCACACATTGGCTACTGCCCCTGCCACGTGAGTTTCTATCAATAAACAAGATCCCCACAGGCCTGGAGTTTGTGTTGCCTGATCAGCTGCCTTTGCTTGCTAACTGCTGTAGTAACTGGGTATTATGGAAACCAAGACCAAGACTGAGTGGGAAAACGCACTCTTAGAATACAGCAGCTGGACAGCCAAATTCAAGAGCTGAGATTGTGGCTCGCTGGTTATAGGAATGAAACCTGAGAAGGATCTTAAATTTACATTCCTGGGACCGTGTAGTGGTGTAGTGGGTAAAAGAATTATGTGGAGCATTTATTACAACCTCTAGAACGAAACAAAACGGAGAAAATACCTTAAAACACATTAGAAATGTAGTGCTCAGACCCAACTCTGGGCATCTAGCCATAAACTCAACCTTGCTCTAGGAGGAGCATGCGCGGCCACGCCCACCACGCCCGCCCCGCCCACCCGCGCTCAGGCCGCCTGCTCTAGTCAGGCCTCCATCTTGAGAGACGGTGATCTCAAACCGAATCGAGATTTGCGCGGCCTTTGGGACTGGGAAGTCGCCGTAAGTGGTGTGTCCAGCCCCCTGCCGCCTCCTCAGAATCCCCACAAGCAGGAATTGCTTCAGTGTAGCCGGCCGGCAGCCAAACCTGAGGTCCTTCACCCACTGCCTCCCACGGCCGTTGAGCCCGGAGCTGCGGTTCTCCTCGTGGCTCCGGGCAGGACGCTGAGCCCTGGGGGCTTCCACCTCGCCCATCCCCAGTCCCGGCCTCGGCCTCGGGGAGAGGGAGAGGCGAGGGCGAGGCGGGGGTGTAGAGGGCCTTGCAGGGCTGCGGGCTCGGCGCCTCCTGTCCCGCGGGAGGGTCTGGGCGCTGACCCCCTTGTCGCCCCGTGGCCGCCGCGGATGAGGTGTGTCCGGCGCTTGTCAGGGCGGCCGGCGCCCCCAGCTTTCTCACGCCATCACCCGGTGAAGGCCGGGGACCTCTCTGCGATGGGGCGGGCTGGGAGGAATGGGGTTGGCATCTAGAATTTTGAGGCGCCTGCGAGACTCCGGGACAGATTTCAGTAGGCTTCTCTGGATGTGTAAGTGTGGAAATCAGAGAAGGGATTTCGAAGGCAAGCAGTTTCAAAGAGAAATTTTCCCCGAAAGATTATTGAAGTTTCCAGTGAGCTTGGCTACCCTGACGGGGGCGGGTTTGACACGAAGAAAGGCTCTGTAGCCGTGGGGAAGACGGTGGTGCTAGTTGTGCTCGTTAGAAAGCCGCGTGTTGACTCGGTGTCAAGCAGTTTCCCCTCCTCTCAATCACAGAGCGTCTGCCCGTGGACACCGCAGTATTTGCAGTTAGTCACATCCACTTCTATACATATAGTAATTTCAACATCAGCGAATTCCATTTTTTTCTCATTTTCGTTGTATTTCCCTTTGATCCATGTGTTTTTATTAGTGCGTTTAATTTCCAGGTGTGGAACTTTCTAGTCATCTTTTATGGATTTCTGGCTAAATTGCACCATAGTTAGAAAATACTTTATTAAGTTATCAGTTTCTTTCTTTCTTTCTTTTTTTTTCCCTTTTTTTTGACAGGTAGAGTGGACAGTGAGAGAGAGAGACAGAGAGAAAGGTCTTCCTTTTGCCGTTGGTTCACCCTCCAATGGTGGCTGCGGCTGGCGCACCACGCTGATCTGAAGCCAGGAGCCAGGTGCCTCCCCGGGTCTCCCATGTGGGTGCAGGGCCCATGGACTTGGGCCATCCTCCACTGCATTCCCGGGCCACAGCAGAGAGCCGGACAGGAAGAGGGGCAACCGGGACAGAATCTGGCGCCCCGACCGGGACTAGAACCCGGTGTGCCAGCGCCGCGAAGCGGAGGATTAGCCTATTGAGCCGCGGCACCAGCCAAGTTATCAGTTTCTTAAAGTTTACTGAAACCAGTTGTGTGGCTCAATCTCTTTCAGTAAATGTCCCATGTCCATTTAAAAAGAATGTAAATTCAACAATTGTCTTGGGTATTCTGTAAATGTTAATTAAAACTAATTTGTTAAGCCATCTATATTTTTACTTTTTTTTTTTGGCCTGCTTATTCTGCCCTTTACTGAAAAAAAGGATATTGAATCTTCCATCATGATTCTGGATTTGGCTTTATTTTTTACAGGCTATGTGATTGGATACAAATTATAAAATCTTTAAAATTTTTTTTTTATTATGAACTGTTCCTCTATGTCTTGTAATGCTTTTTTTGCCTGGATATTTACTTCATCTGCTGATTTTCAGTGAACTTGGTCTCAATTCTTCACCCTTCTTATAGTTGCAGACAGTGTTCACACCCTTTGCTTTGTGGCTTTGCTATGCTGCCATGAGGTGACCTGTGCTGATTTTTCACTTTGGGCTCAATCATGTGAGCAGACAACTTTGAAGTAGAAGCTTACCCTCAGGGACTTGGTCTTCTGGACAAATTCATAACCGTGAGAATGTACTCAGGCCAGTGAATGACACGTAGTTGAGTGAAACATGGAACAGAGCCAAGTTGTCCCAGTCATATTAGCTGAGGCTAGACAAGATCAGCACCACAGTGGCTGGGACTGGGCCATGCCAAAGTCAGGTGACAGGAGCTTTATCTGGGTCTCCCACGTGGGTGCTGGGGTAAAGGCCTTGAGCCATCCTTTGCTACTTTTCCCAGGTGCATTAGCAGGCACCTGGATCAGAAGTAGAGTAGACAGCACTCAAAACTGCCATCCATATGGGATGCCGGTGTCACAGGCAGCAGCTTAACCCCTTAGGCCACAATGCCAGTCCACGGACCAAACTCTTGTAAGGAGCCTATGATTAGTTTTGTTGCTTTAATACCATTAGGTAATTTTTTCTTGTTCTGAAACTTATTTAAATCACTTATATGTATCATAATTTTTAATTTAGGTTTAAATCTGTCAATGTTTTCTGTATGTCCCCCTATTTGTTCCCTTTTCACTTTTTCTTTTGATTTGCTCATTTTTATTCTATTTCACCTTTTAGCTTTAAAAAATCTTTATTGAGGCATAACTTGATGCCATAAATTACACATATTTTAAAGGTACTATTTATTTAAGATTGCTCCAAAACAGGGAATGAATTTGGAAGGGCAAGATAAACTATTTAAGAGGCTGTTGGAATACTTAAGAGGACCTGAGCTGAGGCAAGGACCAAGTTGTGAAATTATGAGAACTTGGTCACCTTAAAGGGCTTTACTCAATCTGTATATTTGTTAATTTAGGTTTTAAGAGGAAGAACTGGGTAGCAAGAAAGTTGACAATGGTTGACTGGAATTATGGACACCCCAAAGATGTCTGGGTCCTAATCCTTAGAACCTGTGAATTCGATGGTCTCATCCTGATGTGATGAAAAGCACTTTAAAAATGTGATTTAAGGCCGGCGCGGCGGCTCACTAGGCTAATCCTCCGCATTGCGGCGCTGGCACACCGGGTTCTAGTCCCGGTTGGGGCGCCGGATTCTGTCCCGGTTACCCCTCTTCCAGGCCAGCTCTCTGCTGTGGCCAGGGAGTGCAGTGGAGGATGGCCCAAGTCCTTGGGCCCTGCACCCCATGGGAGACCAGGAGAAGTACCTGGCTCCTGCCATAGGATCAGCGCAGCGTGCCGGCCGCGGCGGCCATTGGAGGGTGAACCAACGGCAAAGGAAGACCTTTCTCTCTGTCTCTCTCTCTCTCTCACTTTCCACTCTGCCTGTCAAAAAATAAAAAAATAAAAAAAAAAATAAAAATGTGATTTAAGTTAAGGGTCTTGGGATGGAGAGAGTAACTGGATTATTCAGGTGGGGCTAATATATTAACAGGGGTCCTTAAAAGAAGGAGGCAAAAGAATCAGAGCAGGAGAGAAGGTGAAAAATGTGAAGATAGGAAGATGGACCGTAAGAAGCAGGTGGTTTCTCAACAGCTGGGAAAGGTAAAGTGATGGACTCTCCCTTAGAACCTGGAGAAGCAACAACATCTTGCTGGTAACCTTGATTGCTGCCCATGAAATCTGTTTTGGAGTTCTGATCTCCAGAAATAGAAGATAATGAATTTTGGCTGCTTTTGAGTCACTGTGCTGTGATTTGTTACAGTAGCAGTAGGAAACTAACGGAGTGGACTTCATAATCCTTTGGCTTATAACAACATTTGTTTGGTATTTATTCACTGCCTACTTTGCACTAAAGTTACAGATGCTTGGGATGCATGAGGGAACTGAAAAAGACCCCATGGAAAATATGAGTACACTTTAGGATGTGAAGACAGAAAGATGAATAATATAATAAGTTATATACTTTCCTATGGGTGGGGGGAAGAAAAGCATAGTACTGGACTTAGGAGGGAGTAGCAGGTTGCAGTATTAAATAGGGTGGTTAGGATAGACTGAGAAGGTGACATTTGAACAAGGAAGATCATATAGTCCTCTGGGATTTAATTTTTATGGGGGGGTGAATTAATTGGTACAGAGTATCTAATTCTTATATTGGGAATGCTGATGGGAAGCCAGGGTGTGGTTCATGTTACCTAGAAACTTCATCTCTACCCATGTTTTAGAAAAGGGAGACAGCAGGCAGGCATATGGATGGCAGGATGGTGATTTTTTTAGAGATTTATTTATTTTATTTGAGAGGCAAGTTACTGAGAGGCAGAGGCAGAGAGAGAGAGAGAGAGAGAGAGAGTCTTTCATCTGCTGGTTCACTCCCCAGGTGGCCACAATGGCCAGAGCTGTGCGGATCTGAAACCAGGAGCTTTTCTGGGTCTTCCATGTGTGTGCAGGGGCCCCAAGGACTTGGGCCATCTTCTACTGCTTTCCCAGGCCATAGCAGAGAGTTGGATTGGAAGTGAAGCAGTCGGGTCTTGAACCAGGCACCCATATGGGATGCTGGCACTGCAGATGGTGGCTTTTCCCCACTACACAACAGCACCGGCCTCTAGGTTGGGGATTTTTGGTATTTTGGATGAGAGTGGATACTTGGTTATTATGTGAGGCCAGTAAAACCTTTCTGGGCCTGAACTTATTTCCCTCTGTGTTTGTTCTTTTTACAAGTCTTTCATGATTCTCAAAAAGTGTATCACAGACTGTTTGCTCCAAGAGTCCTCTATAATAAATGGCACTTGCACCCTGTTAGCCTCAGACTGAGGTACAGCTGAACAGGAAGCCAGTGTTCAGAGCAATGAGGTGGCCCTTCCCTTTCTTCTCCACCTGTACCAAGGCTGAAATTACCCCTGCTAGTGGAGTTACTCTCTTGCAATAGGCCTGAGTCTGTCAGTAATATTTATACTTTTTACAATTGCTTATCTAATTGTCTAGCTACCCATATAGATATAAAATCTATGTAAATATAAAATCTATTTCAAAAAAATTAATAGCATTTGTATACACAAATATCACCATGGCTAAGAATTTATAAGATCATTCCATTCACACTGGCTACAAAAAAACTAAACTCGCAATAAATTCAACCAAGAATGAGAAAGATCTATACCATGAAAATTACAAAACATTAAGAAAAGAAATGGAAGAAGACGCAAAAAAATGGAAAAAATCTTTCATGTTCATGGATTGGAAGAG